GAAATCTCGTCCGAATGCCCTTGCGTACCATTTCTGTCATGGTAATCTCGCACAGCCCATATTTTCACTTCGCCAATTCTGCTACTTTTGTGTTTGTTGTTGTATTGTTCAACAATTCAAAGCAGTTGATGGTCTATCCCACCCATAGGAATGGTTATTCATATGCTATATTGCATTAATATCTCTCGAAAACACATAGAATGTGACATTTTTTACATTGTACGGGAGGAGATATGTGGGAACCCCCTGCTTTGGCCCAGAATCGTAAAAATCGAAGTTTGCACAACTTCTCCGTTGGAAAAGATTAATAGTGTGGTCATAGAATCTATTATAGCATAGTGCAGTTCTATGTTACAAATGAAAGCTGCGTGCTTTGAAAGGAGTTGGATGTGCTGTCACCACATGGACAATTAAATGGAGGTGCAGCACACGGAACTGGCACTACAGGCACTCATCTACTCTGTATTTCTCCTTTCCATTAATTGATTTGCTTCAATAAATCGGAGCCATCGCAGGTCTCATCAAAAATAGGATCTTTTCATACACAGTGAGATTGAAAGTGCATTTTATCGGTATAACGGACCAATTTAGCAACAACAGAAGTTACACAAAAGCTGGTTCAACAGTAGGACACCCTAGAGGTCTGTGAAATATTCGATGATGACTGGTATAAAAGGCGAAACATAACAACTTCCCTACAGCTCGTATTCTATTGCCTACAATACTCAGCTTCTACAAAAGCAACCCTCAACGATGATGTTGAGGGTTGCTGACCATTCTACTGCCAGTGATGCAGCCCCTGTCAAAGGAATGCCAGGCTGTTGACGTTAACGTCGTGAAGCCCGACAATCTTACTGAACCAGTAAAAANCCTACAGCTCGTATTCTATTGCCTACAATACTCAGCTTCTACAAAAGCAACCCTCAACGATGATGTTGATCATCCTGACCATTCTACTGCCAGTGGTGCAGCCCCTGTCAAAGGAATGCCAGGCTGTTGACGTTAACGTCGTGAAGCCCGACAATCTTACTGAACCAGTAAAAAAGGAACTCGAGAAATTCCTTGGGAGAAATTTGGTAGTTCTCTTGGAGACTCTCAGTTCCATGCATTAAAAGGGAAAGATGCCTTAAATGATCATCTTTTTCAGACCGACGGAATAGCTACATACTACGTCGGATTCCCCGACCCATTCGGTTCCGACTTGCAGTTCACAGCTCTCTGTGCCTTTGGATCAGGGGTACGTTACTTAGAAGTCTTCTTGAATAGATTGAATGCAGTACTGACTCGAACCCTTTATTTTAGCTGCCAACAGTTCCCTACTGCCTCAATGTGACGTTGGTGAATGGAAACTTTAGCGCCACACCAATTGTGAAAGAAGAATTTCTTGATTTTTACAGAAATTGTAGCAATGACCCCAAATTCGAGCTCCAAAGAAATATTTTGGTAGCCAGTCAATAGTTAGCTATTGTAACGAATAAATCCTGTCATGATTAGCGTTCGGCATTGTAATTTCAAAGGACCATACTGAAATTCACTTGGTTCAAAGAATATAATGAATCGCAAAAATGATAGAAGATTGGAACCTCCGATAGATCGGTACGTGTATCTAATTGTTACTAAATTCATGCGCATGGCGCAATCTCAGTTTCATAAAAAAAACTGAGGAATGGAGTATGGATGTCCCAGTGCATGCCCCATGAATACATGAATATCCCGCCGGTTTCTCGGTCCCCTGTTTGCCACTGTTCTCGAGCTTGGTGGCCTTGGAGCAGCTGTTCTCATTTCGTGTGATGGGCCATTATCTTGCAGTTCATTTGGGAGATGAGTGTGTGTGCAGGCCGCTGCTATAACCAGAAACAAGCCAGGGCCTCATAATGGATTGCCGGAGATTCGCTCGTTCAAACACGCTTCCCGATTTCCCATGGGAAGGAAATACGATCGGGCTCTCTGCCCCGTTGCCCAGTTTTGCAGCTGCCGTTCGCCTTTCAGAATTAATCACCCGATAACTCGACAACAGGAACGAAATCGCTTTGGTGTTTCGCACAACAGCTTAAGCAACCCATTAGGGTTTGCATTTGGAACGATCATTCTGAAGGGATGAAAGAGAAGAACGAATTGAAAGTTGGGCCTTCACTAGTTAGTCCCATGTCGATTTTCGGCATCGGTAAGAGCTGATTCAAGTGAAGCGTGCGCTTCTACCCCAATAGCCTCCGAATCGGAGCTGAGGGTGGCTATTGAACTAAAGGAAGATGTGGCTTGAAAATGGCTTTGCCTTGTTCGAACCCCATTCAAGCAGAAATCACGCTGCACCAGCAAAAGCTTTAGTTTTGTAGGGTTCAGGTGGTGAAGGGTAGAAAGTCATTCTTTCTGATGCTGGGAGCTGGAATACAATTCCATGTCTCCTTCTTCCCACTTCTCACCCTTCCTATAAGGATAGGTTAAGAAACGTTTACAAGCAAAGAGCTTATACTGCAAAACGGGGTCCTCGGATCGGTCGGTGCGGCGGAATCCAGACTCGAGTAATTTGGAAGGTATGGACGATGCAGAAGAAGGTGATTCCCCGAAAAATTAAAATCAGTCCTTCAAACTCAAACCATTCAAAGTAGTTCATTTCTTCATCCTTTTGGAAGGGTCAATTCACGAATGACGAGGGTACTGGGGAAAGGGGGAGATTGGTTGAAAATAGGTCTATGCACTACTCGAAGCAAACGTCTACAGGGATCCAATCAAACGGACGATTAATCTCAAAGGTTTAATAAACGCAGGTCAAACATTGCGACGTTGCTTCTCAGAACCAAAAGATCCAGAAATCTTAATATTCCGATCGCTGAGAAGACCTTGGCTGGTAGCCGATCACATCGCGCTTTGACGCCAGTAAAGGCAGATGGTGTCCTCAGCTTCTTAAGAACGAATCATCGGAATGATTGCTTTATGCAGCAATTCCATCCAAATCCAAAATGGTTTTGTAATTTATGGATTTATTCGAAAACGTAAAAATACATTATTCTCTTTTTGAGAAGATTTTCGTCCCCTATTGGGTGTTACTGTTAAAGGGATCATAGCATAAGGACTTACAGGGGATGTGCCGGTAAATCCTGAAATTAGTTTTCAGAGTGAAAAACTTCATCCTTTCATTCTGCTTTCTACGAATCTCAGCCGAACAATCGGAGACGACTATAGGCCTTGCCATAGGCCTATTCCTCTTTCCAATAATTGCATTCCATCTCGTCTCACTTGCAAGCTAATCAGCAAACGTTGTTTTCGATGAACGAGTTCTGCTGCCGTACGATGCAATTCTGTGCCATGGCCAAAGATCAGCCTAGCCCGACTTTCGATGCTAAGCTCGGAATAAATAGGTAATTGAGTATGCTAATTACTAGCTTGAGTCGGCCCGGAAGAGCTCAAAGACCACCACGCCCCTCAAAGAATTAGGGAAGACTGTTCTGCTATCCATGTAGATAGCTTTATAAGCCGCAAATGAGATACTCCCTTTTCGAAGTAAACAGGTGGTAAAGTAAAATAAATATTATAAATAAAGTGAATTTCCATCGGAAGAAAAGCTCAAAACGGAATCGTGGCCACGTTTTTCGCTGAAGAGCGTCAAAAATGCGTTATATTGAAGGGTGGTTGAGGGTTACTACCATGAATTTTTCAGCATCGTAAGGGTACTGTTAAGGAGCAGATTACTTGGTTATTCGGCCTTTTTCAATCTAACTAGGAATCTGATCACTTTTCTTTTCTTAGAAGGTGATCTTACTCACACGATTCTCTTCTTGAATCGCTGTTAGTGAGCAGACTTTAATAAGGGTATTCGCAAGAAGGGAGTGGTTTATATGATGGGCGGATCTTTTACGACAAGAAGGCTGAAAGGCTGAAAGGAGGTAAGCTGATACGACAGTAATGTAATAGGATATATCTGTCTAATTGTATTGAAATATGATTCCTGTTGTTTTTTATGCTATAATAGCGTCGCTATTGTACGCAAAATAATTCTAGAACAAAGTCCATAGCTCTCTTCACAGAAACGCCATGCATCCGACTCACACTACAAATTTGGGATGTTGTTAAAAAGTTAGATGTCACCAGTGCTATTTATACTCCGCTAACTCTAATGAGACGGATGATATAAATAAAAAAGACGTAAAGCAGAATTTGAATTAGGATTTGGGCTCATATACATATGCTAAAAGGCTTTGTAGAGGAATTGTAGAGCCTAACGTCTTGCAAAAGTACCGACGACGACAGGAAACAAACCCACAAACTTCGCCTAACGAGGGAAACCACGCTTATCGCCTATTTCAACTTGAACTCGAACTGTTTTCAAGCACCAAAGGCTCCCAACTTCCTCGGGAACTCAATTAGCAGACTCAACTTCTCTATCCGTGAGCAGCCCTCTGAACTCATTCGATATACCATGCTCCCTATTCAAAGTTGCATGGGAAGTTAACCCTACCCTGGTAAGGTATAGGGGTGGTCAGTCATGAAGCAAAAGTCATTGCGAGCGGATGAAATCACGTTGACACCCCAAGGAGGTGAACTAGTCCCCTAGACCACCATTTGTTCGCCGGCACCAAAGTTCCGAACATTTTGACTCATGTGCATTTCAGTATTATTGAAGTCCACTGCTTTCGGAATAGAGGCGCTATCGGAAAGGAATCCATCAACATCGGCTTGGTATTAGGCTCAAGATATCCGATGATCCCCAGAGAACATCCTGTGAGTGTGATTAATCATCAGAATTGATATTCCTTCTCAAACTCCCTTCGATGGCAAAAATAAAAAATGACGTCGGACAAACTTTGAATATCCAGACAGTTCGGCTCAAAAATGCATTGAAAGTTCTCAAAAACGCTTACCGTATGACTAATATGATTGATAAAATTGTAAAAATTGTTGTAATTGTTTGTTGTAAAAATTCATGATAACTGTCAATATCGAAATCAGTACTAACTGCTACAATAAAAATTCATTATTGCTAATGTTCAATTAAGCAAAAAACATCAATAATCGATTGACTGTACCTGTTTTGCATCATTTGCAGTAAGAAGTTTTTGCTGATGATAAAGTCGATCGATCAGCTGCCGAAGGCGTTGCGAACCAAATAGTTCAGCTGATGGATTGACCGTAATCCGCCATGATGGCTCATTCTCCTCGTCGGGGTCCTTCTGAGGGACTGCCTAAAAGTAACAGACATAAGTATGAGGGGGAAAATTGGCAATAACTCAAATTGTTAGCGATCGGAGAAGAGCAGGATGGAAGGGGATTCAACAAAAGGAGTTTCTGGAAGTTTTACTTCCGCCGGCATGCCAAGTTTTTGAGCAATTTTGAGATTTTGAGGCCCCTTTATATTCGAGGCATTTAACGCCTGCCATTGGCTTTCCCATAGACTTTCTTGTTATCATTTTTCTCTTTCCTCAAATATCTCCTCTTTCCCTCTAAGAACTCATGACGCACAAACAGTAGACGTCAACGAATCCGTACAAAAAGTATTTCTCTTTTCTGAAGACATTTCAGTGGTATTGTAATGGATGGGGACTAAAATAAAAAGCAGTGCAGGCTCAAAAAGGAAGGAGTCGCCTGATAGAAGTATAGTTTCGGCGTTTGTAGAGGTACCCACGACCTTGTCCCTTTTCATTTCCACATTTGCACGTACTTTCATCCTGTACGCCGACAAGTCTCTGAACTGCATGCAGGGACCTTTCAAAGCAAAAAAGAGCAGGACATAGGGCACGAGTTCGCGATACTTGATAGTGGCCTCAATGGATCTTTGATAGTAGTCTCGCGGCATCGGTACAGCTAGAATAGCTATTGGTCCAGCTATTGCTCATCAGCGCTGAGCTCCGTCTCATCTTCCATCGATAGGAAGTTGGCTCTCCGAAGCTGACCTACACGTAGGGAGCTCCGATTACTATTCAACTTCTCCATAGAATTTTTCTTGGCTCCGAGGCGAATACAGAGAAGGCGCTGTGCGGCTCTTGTCTTATGTCTCACATCCGTTTACATCCTATTATCGCAGATCTAGTTCTTGTTTACAAGTTACCAACAGCTTATTGTTACATAACACATGCTAATAAAGTCATCAATATTCATGAATACGCCGAAAAGAAGAAAAAGGAGCCTTCCTAAGAGAAAAACATCTTTCAAAAGACAAAAAAATGATTCAATCCAGTCATCACTCGGTGAAGGTGTACATCTCACATTTTACTGCCAGCTTACAATGGAAAGAGTAAACAGATGCATCTGGGACTTGAAGTTTGGCAAAACAGTCAGCTAGAACTACTAGAAATGAGTGAAATTGAAAAAGTGTTTTTTCAAAGAAAAGCCACACGATGAAAGTGGCCAAGGCATTGCCGTTCCATTAAAAAATGAACTCTTGACCTTAAGATCAGGAGGCATGCTTATAGACTAAGCCGTTCGACTTTCCACTGAGAACAGTAAGTTTCTCCTCACAATTTTAATATCATTCTTTCCCACAGCCATCTCTTTTCACTTTAGTCGACCACCCTTGAGGTTTGAGGACCGAATTTTTCTTCCCCAACACGTGCTCAGTTCGGGATACCGGCTAAGAACAAGTAATGCTGAGATGGGTAAAAGTCAACAACCGGTTACACAGACAGCAATCCAAAAAAATGGGGATCAGTAGGGGTTAAATTCGAAGTCAAAGTCGAGTGCATGGCATATCCTAAGAATAAATAGGTAGCCTATTCATTCTTGACTTCTTCATTTCCGTAAACTCTAATCATCTCAAGTACGTGTGCATTCACTTCTTGGTTTGGTGGACTTCTCAATGAGCTATTCCAAAGGTTTTGAGTGCAGGAAGCATCCGTGCCACATCGTGAAAAGGCAACCACTGCCACCGCCAAGTTAAATAAATTTTCTTCAGCTATATACAAGGGCTTGCCGACGCATGATTTATGAATGCATTTTGAAGAATTTTGTAATTGCCGACGAAATATCGATCAGGGTAACGGCAAAGGCTAAATGGCGATTAATGGCTATTCAGTTGAAGCAATTAGACTGAATTTCTCATTAAATAGGCAGTATGAGCGATGGCTCAACAGCTATGGACCGATGACCGAAAGAACGGAGGACTTGGATTTGTAGGAAATGTAGCTTTCCAAGAAAATCCACCTGAAAAGTGGTAGGAAGGGAAGGGGAAGGAAAACAGGGGGGGGGGGGGGGGGGGGAGCTGGTGAACCTTTTAGCCCATTCCACTCACTGATAGGTGATGATGAGTCTTGGAAAGTGTAATCATAAGCAAGTAAATCACCAGTATGGAAAACATCTCAAAGGAGAGCCGGAAGCCTATGAAATCCAATTACCATTCTGTTGTGTTGCTGCTGATTCCAACACATGTGTGGGGACTCATTTTGAACGAATCTTCCTGCATGAATACGAACATTTTGAGAAGAATAGCGCACCGGTGCCGTTTTAGAGTGGGTCGTTCCTCGAAAAGCGTCATTTCCTCTTTTCAGAGCCAAAAACGCGGTCGGTAGTCTTCTTTGTCGCAGTAACGCCCCTTGGTGGCGCCAGCCAAGCTGAAGACCTTCTCTGAAGGTAATCCGTCGCAGTAGGTCTTAGCGCAGGACATGCTGTCAGACTGCCGCACTGTGTTGGGCCTACTACAAGGCCTATCCCTGAATTCTATACGGTATGGTAGCAGCTCCAGTACCGTTATGGAATGCATCAATGCACTCAATGACTCACACCCTACCCGATTCCCATTCAGTGGTGGAAAGGAAATCAAGCGTGACGAATCCATAGGTTGGAACATGGTCGGCCCGAACGTATGCATATGATTCATCTCCCACTACGAGTTTCACAGCCACTCGCCACCCACCTACAAGACGTCTCGTGAATAGAGCCTTCCTGCATTAACCAATCCCATTTCTGGTGTGAAGCTGTGTGTAGCTCATATAATGACTTGCGGTGGTGCCCCGACGTACAAGCCAGTGTTTTTATCCTTCCAAACGAATCTAGTGCCTATAAAGGCCCTGGAGGGATGGAAGGCTTGGTTAGCCTAGGCATGTGTCCTGCATCCACCCCAGATTGGCGCGTGGGATCCACTGGGGCCACTACACCACCTCCTTCCTGCGTATTCCTTATGTAGGCTTAAAAAATTCGTACTTGACATATAATGCTGATGACATAAGCTTACATCGACCAGTGGAAGGCATTATTATCAGAAAAGTAGGGAACAAACAAGCAGATGTTCCTTTTTCTGACGCTGTTATATACAATAAATGAATAATTTAAATCATTTCTCTGAATAAATGGGCCCAAGCCCTTGTTCGAAGTTCTCGTTCGCAGTCGAAAAGGAAGTAGGCCCGTGAGGAATGACAGAATAGCGCAAAGCGATTTATTCGCTGTCATTTGCTTGCACGTCAATCCCCCACATGAATAATTAAGGTGTTATGCTTGCTTCCCACAATCGATGGGGTTTTTTCCCTAATTGCATGTTTGCAAAGGGGGTTTCCGGTGAAACCTCGTCAATTACTCAAGAAACACAAGTAAATTCTCAGATCCTCTTCAGCACCCCCTTTGATGAAATAAGAGCAAACTGGTTAGNGTTCTTGATATTCTAAGGCCAGATGGCTTCTGTTGGGAGCACTACGAATTTTCGATAATTATTCCAATTATTTTTAATTTTGATTATTGTTTACTTGATTTTTATATTTTTAAGAATAAATCAATCTAACTAATACCAGTCTTAGCGACCCAACCAATCACAATTAAAAGTCTCTTTTATCACTGAAACCATCACAGGGCCTTCATTAGAAATGACAGAGAGGCACAACTGTTGCATTATTTCTAGGACTCTAATTCTCTGTATTCTAGCTATGTCCGTAGAGTAGTTCGGGGCTGATTTCGTTGTAAAAAAAAGCAGTAATTGCTTCTCGTTGAGAATAATTAGAGGTAAAATGGCTGCAGGGTGAACACCCTGATTCCATGAGCACACCTTCCGACAAAATTTCCACTTGATTCTAGTAGATTTTTACATCAGCCGGGAAAAATGGTGGGCATTGAAGAGTGTCATGGTTAGAAAGGGCGTGGCCTGAATCAATTTCGCATGGAGCATATTAAAAACCGACTGGCTGCCAAAGATAAATGTTCTAAAGAATCAAAAATTTACTGACAAGAATGGGAATTACTATATCCAAGACATCGACTGACTGTAAGTAGGCAGTATCAAAGTGCTCACACTCAAAAGAAAGCAGGGGGAATTCGAATGAATTAGAAGATTGGGATTTTTAAACAGAAGACAATTATTTAAAGTTATCGAAAGGCTTTCGAAATGTTAATTGCCGTGGTTTTGCTGATTTCCTCGAGATATTCATATTTCGGTCACATTTCTCTTGGGGTTGGGTTTGGGTAAGCCTTCAATATACTTGTTATCAACCAAGCGCTAGCAACAAGCCTAGAACTCCGTTTTCCAGTATACTCCTGAGAACGTCAGATGAAGTAGGTATCCTTTCCTACGGCTGATGTCCTTTTAGTTCATTTTTTAATGATCCTTTTTATTTTATTACACCTCCATCCTCACTGGGTGATGAAGTTATGCAATTTCAAGTAAAAGATGCGGAAGAGCCTGAGGAGTTGTACTTTCGAGCTTAACTTTTCGCATCCACCATGTTTTGCGGATCATCTTTGACCCTCAGATCGAAGTTGATCCTCAATTCTTGAAGCCCATTGAAGGAAGTCAACAGTTCCTAATGAGGCAGATGAAGAAATCCCACTTGGAAGCTTTTTACCTGGTCTGTCAAGGTGAAAGAGACATAGTGCGCATCCTATCAGACCACGATTATGGGCTCAAAGCGCAGATTAGCTGGGGATACTAGTATTGAGAGAGCAAAGTAAATGAAGTCAAGGAATAGACGGAATTATAATGAACGACCAACAACAAGCAAGAAACCCGATCACGACAGCTCGCCTCCCAACCGTTACCTCCTGCAAGGGAACCTCTCCTTCTCCTTCATTCACAGCTCTTATTGGAAGGCATCACGGCATAAAGAAATGATAAGGACACCCCATTGAACAGTCGTCGAGAAATCCGGCTGAATTATGTCATTAGGTTCGACTTCAGTCTTTACCTTCAGTCGCGTTGGAATAAAGTCTTGTACTCAGAGGTAATAGAGTGGAAACCCATAGGAGTGGCTTTTTCCCATTCCACATGAAGG